GGGGCTTTGTAGGGTCGACAGACTCTACAGAAGGGTTGCACGTGCGTAGCAGCGTAGGGGTGCGCAACGAATACTTTCAATTGCTTCTGCATGCGCTGCCCCGCTGCTACACTTACGCCTATTCCACTGCTATACTTTGGATTAGCTACCCTGTCGCTCGTTGAACTTGAGTAGAGCTTGAACAAAGTAGAGCTTGAACGAATACTTCAAGAGACTCCCTCCCTCTGCGATATCCGATTGTCTGAAGGCTCAGAATTCCCAACGCATTCGAAGGAAACATGTGCAGTGCATACGCCAGAAGAGAAGAGAAGATTAGGGCAGCGCGATAACTTAGAAGGTATGGCAGCGCGAGAACTTACAATATATGGCAGGCGCACGCTGAATGAGAGGCGCACGCTGAAGGATATACACGTACCGTATCGCACGTACACCGCATCAAGATGGCAAAGAGACGCAGACATCCTTTCCCGGGGAAGGAAGGATGGATGGATGAGAGAACCGATACTACATGTAACTTAGGCTGTGGATTACTTGTGAGTGGAAGGGGAGGGATGTACGCAGGAGCCGAGAGATACGCAGGAGCAGATAGGCAGGAGCAAACATCACACATACTCAAGACTCGGAGCAAGAACGAGGAATGAGCCGCAAGAGAAGAGACACCCAGGAGCATTAAAGAAGAGAAAAGAAGAGGAAAGAACTACTTATTTATTACTGTACCCACAACGCTACCAGTCCATATGCATCCTGTATACACTACTGCTCACTACCACCCCCTATCACCTATCCACTATGTACGTATAAACTGTCCGTCGCTACCACCCATCCACCTCCGCAACAAGCGCCCACCTCGCCCTCTGCACCGCAACACTCCTCTCCCTCTCATGTTCATCGTGCTCGTCGTGCGCATGTGCCCCATGTCCATGCTCATCATGCGCGCCGCCCAACTTCTTGCCAGCCCCAATAGCAAACCTCGACCCAAACCCAAACCCCCTCCCAATCCCCGCCGCCCCGGGCCTCATCGGTTTCCCACCGGACAGCGCGACCTTGACTTGCACGGCGACGCGCTCCCGACGGAGTCTGCCCAAGCCGGCGGAGTGTTCTTCGCGTGTTTCGGCGAGGCGGATTATTTTGAGGGCGGGGCAGAGCGCCGGGCCTTGGACCGGCGTGTTGGAATATGAGGCGGAGGAAGGCGCAGACGTGTGCGCTGGAGTAGCATGCGCTGAGGAAGAGGCAGTGGTATGCGCTGATGCTGAAGTGAACGTATGCGTGGGATGGGCGGAGCTCGGCGTAAGCAAATCCACAACACGCCCCAAATCCTCCCCATCCGACGCAAAACACAACTCGTGCAGGTTCTCCATCCTCCCCAAACACCACGCCCATTTCTCCCAGTTCCCGCTTAGCGCTGGGCTCGCTATGTCGAGGACGCGGAGGCTGTGTAGGTCTCCTGTGCCTGCGCCGAAGGAAGAATTCGGAGCGGCGAAGGAAGGGCTTGAGCCGCTGAAGGAAGAATTTGAGCCGCTGAAGGAAGGGCTTGAGCCGTCCGAGAAAGAATTCGAGTCGTCCAAGAAAGAATTCGAACCGTCCAAGAAAGAATCCAATCCAGCCCGAACAACAGCACGCTCCAGCGCCCCCACAAACGCGTCCGCGGCACCGATGCGCCGTCCATCGAGGTCGTCCACGCGGAGCACTTCGAGGCGGGGGGCAGAGATCATATCGAGGAGGACCTCGACGTGGTTTGTCTTGAGCGTCCATTCGCGGAGATGGCTGAGGACGATAGCTTGAGGCGTGGTTTCTCTTGCATTGCCACTGTTCATCCCACTCGCATTGGGATTCGTCGTGAGAACGTTCGCAGAAGCACCCGAATCAACAATAACCCTCGCCTTAACCTCCAACACCTCCAACCCCCTCGCCGCACCCACCACCGCCCTCAACTGCGCCACCCCCACCGGCTGCGCCCTTAACGGCCTACACACCCTCAACACCACCAACGCACTCAAATTCGGCGTAAAAAGCTCCGGGAACGGCAGTTTATGGTTGTTCAGGGAGAGGGAGGAGAGGGAGGGGAGTAAGGCGAGGGAGCGGAAGACGGAGGCGGAGGCGGAGGTGGGCATGGTGGGTTTGGCGCGCCCGGTTATGCGGATGCTGAGTTCGGCTATGGATGCTTCTGCTTCTCCTGCTTCGAAGCCCGAGCCGAGAGCTGAAATCGAGGTTGAGGACGAGGACTTCCCTCTCGCACAAAGCGCCTCCAAAAACGAATGCGCAACCCTCTCTGTCGGCGCACGCACATGCACACTCCGCAACCTCTCCCTCGCATGCCTTAGGAATGCTATCAGGAACTCAAACGGTTGGCCTCCTGCTCCTTCTCCTCCTGCTGCTGCTGTGATGGCGTCGGCACCGGCGAGATCGACATACAACACGATAGGACACGCCCCGGAATACGCAAACCACATCCCTGCTTTGCGGATGCAGGCGCGTTCTGCTGCTGCTCCTTCTCTTTCTTCTCCTTCTCCCTCCCTTCCTGCTTCGTTTCCTGCAGCACCCTGTCCTGTGAACCTCGAAGTCGAGGCAAGGTGAAGAGGATGCGAACCCTCCTGGTGATACAAAAGCGGAAGCGGAGAGTGCGTCGACGGAGGGATCTCGCTGGTCGAATGTGCATGATGATGCCCTCCTCCTCCTCCTCCTCCTCCTCCCGCCTCCCCGTGCCCTACTCCCGCCGGCTCCCCATGATGCGCCTCCCCATGTCCTACTCCCGCCTCCCCGTGATGCGCTTGTCCATTATCGTGATGCGCCCCCGTCTCCCCCAGCGCCAACCTCAACCTCGTCCACGCCGTCGGCGTCCCCTTCACCACACTCCTCCACCTCCTCGACACCAACGAGAGTATGATAGGCGCGTCGGGGCAGTATGCCGCCGTATGCGTCATGATGCTGCCGAGGAGTTCGGCGGGGAGGGCGGAGATGGTTGTTGTTGGCGATGCAGAGGGGAGCGCGGAGATGGATGCAGAGGGTAAGGATATGGGTTCGTGTTCGAGTGTAACAGGTGCTTCGAGTGTGGTAGGTGCTTCGAGGGTGGTAGGCGCATCGAGTGTAGGAAGGGAAGGTGTGAGCGCGGTGAAATCTCCGGTTTTATTTTCGAGTGTAATAGGCGCAGACAGCTTCTCTTCGTGCTCGTGTTCAAACGCAGGTGTATGCTGAGGCTGCAGGCATTCCGGTGTAGTGTTTGTCCCAGAGCATTCCGGTGTAGTAGTAGTTTGCTGCATGACTTCCACCATCGCCTGTCCCCTCGAATCACCCCCAGCTTTCTCGTACGGCCCGATGCGTTCGACCATGGCCAGTGCGCGATTTATGCCGGCGTTCGGTAGGTGGAAGTGGGTCCGAGGCTTGCAAGGAGTAAAAGCTTGCAGGTGGTGGCTAAAGACGGCTACTAAAGGACTCGAGTCAGCAAATTGTACACCGGATGATGGGCATGGGGTGCCAAGCAGGGGAGGAGAGGTCGTGTGCCAACGCTGGGCAGAGCAAATGAGATGGGATGGGGTGGAATGGATGGCAGAGACATGGATGTATGTTGTGAACGATATGCACAATGAGGGTAGAGGTATGAATGTATGCAAAGTGCGATGAACGAACGCAAAGCGCGATAAATAAATGAACGCAAAGCACGATGAAGGGGAAAGCACCTCGTGTAAAAACCCGAATGATAATTGATGATGAACGCAGGATGTAGGAGGTGGGCCCCACGCAAAATGGAATGGAGCGCGATGTGAAATAGGGAGTATGTGATGCGGAGTACGATAGAGTAAAATGGGGTGTAACGCGACCAGGATGCGACATACGAATGCGAATGGAATGCGAAGGGGATGGGATAGGAACGAACGCAATGAGATGTGTGGAAAATGGGGCAGAGAAGCGGTAGAAACATGAACGTAACACACCTTGTGTCTAATAATTATGCAATGAACCCGCGATGCGGAAGATCCTCTCCTCCTTCGTACGTTCTTGTGGGTCCGCGTCGTGTGAGGTGGGTGTAGTGTGATGTCGCGGGGCGTAGATGTTGCGGAGGTCCTATGTAATCAAGTCCTTGTGGGTTGCAGCGTCTAGTGCTCGAATCCCAATCGCGAGTGGTCACAGTCGCAGTCCAATCCGGATCGCAAGCAGTCGTCCCTCGTAATGTATCGATATCCAGCAGTCCGTCCCTTGTATCGAATCGCAAATACGTAGCAGCAGCCGCAAGAAAGCAGCAGACACGCAACCGCAAGAAAGCAGAAAGCAAAAAGACCCCTCATTCACGCCAACTCCCTCCCTATATACCGCATCGGCCTCTTCGGATCCTATGGCGTGTTTCAGGGCCGTGGAAAATTGAGTGAGGGATGAATCGATGACGGTCTATGTTCTAGACCGGAAACGAGGCTCTCGACCCGGGGCGGGGGCTATAGCCAGGTGGTCTGTTCGTGAATCTCAGTGGCACAATTTGCAGTGGTCGTTGTTGCACCGACGACCGTGACGGGTCGTTGCTTGGTGTCAATGCTCGTCGTCGTGGTTGCACACTGGTCGCGTATCTGGCAGGTAGCTGTCGTCGTCGTCTGTCGCTGGTGTTTCGAGCTTGACAGCGTTGTGAAGAGGAGCAGTTGTGAGGAGCAGCGGTTGCGACGCTGGAATGGCTCGGGCATGCCGGACGCATATGCATGAGATCAAGATTCAAAGAACAGAAGCTTTCCTTCGCGAATCATCATCAATTCTCGCGCCGCATCCCGCTCACTGCGCCATTACGCATGAGATCCACGGCGACGGCGCTATTAAATTTGTGTACGTTAGTAATTTTGAAGGCTCCGACGCAGCACACTTGAAATTCCTCGTAACCTCCAACCTTCCTTCCTTCCTTCCTTCCTTCTTCTGTTCTTCTTCTGTCCTGCGCCATCCTCCCATCCAATCCGCCATTGGCATCCTCTCTTAAGCCGCATCCGCCTTCCTTTGGGTGGATCTACTTCACGTGAGCGGAAGGAGCAGCCCGTTTAGCTCAGTGGTAGAGCGCGCCACTCGTACGTCGTGATGGTGAGGTCGGTTGTTCAATCCAGCCAATGGGCATAAACCTAGAATCATTGTCAGAATTTTGAACGCCAGTTAAACTCTCTTTTTTCTTTTTTTGCGAATGCCGAAGGTCCTTGGTCCTTGTGTTTCCCACACATACGTAAAGGGAGATTGGACATGGGAGAAATAGATGCACATATCATTATGAATACGAGTGGGACTGGGCTGGACACACGGGATGCGTAGGTACAAGAAATCACTTTGCTCTCCTCTTTTCGTGCTTCTCTTGCTTTTCCTACACTCGACCCAGCCTCACGTAGTAAAAACTCTACAAAACCAAAGTCCATGCCACCCCAATCTCACATCGCTCGAAAATCAGAAATTTAGTCCATGCCGACACCCATACACCTCACCCCATCGCAACATCCCCCTCCGCACCCACACCTCCTTCCCCACTACCACTTCCACCACCTGCGCCATCGCCACTGCCAGCGCCATCACCCATAAACCGCTCAAGCTCCTTATCCAAATCATCCGCCGTCTTCGGTGCTCCTCCCCTCTTCCCTCCTCCTCCTCCTCCCCTTCCTCCTCCTCTTCCACCGCCGCCTCTCCCTCCGCCTCTCCCTCCGTCTCTTGCACTGCCACCACCGCCGCCTCTTCCACCTCTTCCGCTGTTATCGCTACTCCTACGCGCACCGCCGCCGCCTCCGCTACTCCCGCGGTGATCATGCATATCATGATGATGATGGTGTCTGTCGGGTCCTCCGCGCCGACCCCCGCCGCGCGCGTCTTTCCAGGATCCGTCTATGCCTGCTGATGCTGTGGGGTGTGTCGGGTTAGTTAGTTGGTTGGTTGGCGTTTGGAGGAAGGGAAGGGGAGGGGTAGAGGGAAGGGAGGGAGGAGAGAAGGAGCACTGCATCGCAAGAAAAACCAAAAAAAACCAAATGCAAACGACAGATGCACCAAATTCAAGGGCACGCGGCTGCAGAACAAAAGCCACAGCCAGAGCCCCAAAGCTAAAGAGAAAAGAAAGCTCGACGAATAAACGAAAGAACGCACAATGAACAACCCTCCCACCTCCTTCCCTCCCACCACCATCACCCTCCCTGTCCCCAGCCTGCATACGCTCCAGCAGGCTCCCGCCCTTCGCCGCCGGCTCGTCCCGGATACGGTTCATCAGGCGCTGCGAGGGGGCGTAGGATTTTATGTGCAGGGGTTGCGCTGTTGGGTTGGGTGTGGTTAGTGAACGTGGGTGAGGATGAGTGAGTGGTGGGTAAGCGAGAAAGGGTGAGTGAGAAAGGGTGAGTGAGTGAGTGAGTGTTTTGTTAAAGGCAAGAAAACACAAAACACGACGAAACACTCAAAACACGACGAAGACCCAAAACAAAACGAAGTAATCAAAAGAAAGAAGAACAGGAGAATAAAACGCACTCATAAGCACCTTCCCATCCAACTGCCTCCGCGCCTCGCTCGCGTCCGCCCCATCCACGTACGTCACCAGCGCGCTTCCCGTCGAGCGCCCAGAGCGGTCGTACTACAAAGTAAAGTAAGAAAAAGAAGAGGGTCAGTATTTCGATCATGAACGTATGCAGTTTGTGGTTGGGAGTTTGTAGTTTGGGGAGGATGAGGGTGGTTTGGGAGGATGAAGGTAGGGTAGAAGAATGAGAGTGGTGTGGAAGGAATGTGTTCGTTGTCCATGCAAACGAAGAAACAGTTGTGCGAGCACAAGGAACGCCGCACGCTCCGATTCACGAAAACCAAGCAAAACAGATCCACAAACAAAACTCAAGCGAATCCACAAAGAAACCCCACGCAGCGCAAATGGAGAGAAAAAGAACGCACCCTAATCCCAGGAGCCCGCGCCAACGGCCCCACCGCGCCAAACACGCGCGTCAAATCCTCCGGGGACACGTCGAAGTGGAGATTATCGACTAGGAGTTGTTTGCTTTGATTTGCCGTGTTGTTGTTGGTGGAATTGTTGTTGTTGTTGTTGGTGGTGGAGGATCTGAAAGGGCGACGGTGTTAGTTGCAGTTTTTGGAGGTGATGAGGTTTTTGGACGTGATGAGGTTTTTGGACATGGTGAGGTGTTCGGTGTAGGAATAAAATAGGGTATGTATGGGGAGGAATTGTGGTAGGAGAGGAAGAGAGGGAGGAAAGGGCAAGCGAGCAGGAGAGGAACTACGTTCCCCATCCCCAAGATACCTGTCATCCAAACACAACGTGCCGCGCAGACGTATGGTCTGGCGCGCCATCCCCCAGTCGTACCGCATCACCACAAACAACCTCTTCGCACCACCACCAACAACACGAAGCTCGCAAAACCACGCCAGCTCCCTCGCACCACCTCCAAGCTCACACGCACAAAACAAGCTCACACGAAAGCAGCCGAAGCACCGAAGAACGAAGGGGAACACACCTCGAATCAAACTCATCCTCATCCATCCCATAGTCCGCATCATTATCCCACGGCGTGCGCTTCGACTGCTGGGGGTACGGCGCGTGTCTTCTTGACATTGCTGTTTGGTGCTTGCTTTTTGGGTTGGAGTGTAGTGCTGCTTGCTTGCTTGCTTTTTGAGATTTAGTGTAGCGTGGTGCGTTTCGGAAGAGGTGCTGCTTGCCGCGTTTCGGAAGAAGTTTTGGTGTGGTGCTGCAGTGTTCTGGGTTTTCGTCGTGGGTGCAGCGGTGGTGCTGGTGCGGCTTCAGGCGGTGTTGTGGTTTTGTTGGTGGTGGTTCGGTTTGTGTCGAAGCGGCAAGGTCTCTTCAAAGTCAAGACCTGGTTCCAGTTGTCCTAGTCGTCCAGTCGTCCAAATAACAAAGCCTTCGTCTTCGTCCCACGGAAAAAGATTCTCCACTCCAAAGCAAAAAGGTCCAAAGCCGAAGTTATGCGCGAAAAGAGTACGGGACACCGAGGTTTGATGCTGGTGGTGGGTGTAAGAGATCAAGCTTCAAGGCTGAACGCGAGGCTTTCGATCGTAGCTTGCTGTCAGTCCCGTAGTACTAACTGCATACATACTAACTGAACACACTACGGTTAACCAGGCTAATACTACGGAGTAGGCGGCTACTAAGCGCTTCAGCATCGAGGTGGGTATTTATCTCGCTCGCTACGCACAGCGTATACCATATATTGCACAGCGTATACCCTATTTCCTCGTCCATCTGGTTCGTGGCCCATGCATTCAAATAAACACGAAGCGCAACACCTCAAATGTCATCATGTATGTACAGTATCATTCCCACTGCTCAGTAATCACTATCATTCTCATTGCTCAGTAGTCACTATCATCCCCCCTGCTAGCGCTCAGTACCCTCGAACCATTCAACCTTGCAAGGAGCGCAGAGCAAGACAGAACTAGAATGAATAGGGCAGCATTTGCACGCCAGAATCTACTTTTACGGAACACCTCCTTCTCCTTCTCTTTCTGCGCTACTCATCATTACTACCAAACCTTGCTCTCCTCTCTCTCTTCTCTACGCTCCTGCCACTCCCACTCCCACCACCCACATCTAGAAAGGCAACTTAACCTTCTTCACCCTCGGCACACTCACCGGATCCGGCTTCCTATGCTTATGCCACATCCTCCACCTCGAAATCCTCGCATCCATATCCCGCAACATAATCTTACGCCGCGCGAACTTCTTGGGCGCGAGTCGCTCCCACTTGTGTCCTTTGAACATGCGCTTGCGGGTGCTGTAGAGGGTTATCTGTGGGGAGGGGAGGGGGTTAGTAAAAAGAAAAGCAAGAAGCGGGTGGTAGAGCAAGGAATTGAGGGAGAGGGAGAAAGGGGAAGGCATAAACACGCAGTCGAAGCCAAATCTAAGACCCAGCGCGTAGCATCACCACATAGTCACCGCAACACCAATCCCACCAAAAACGAACAAGAAAAACCAACGAAAAAGCAAAAAGCAAAAAAAGAAACACTCACCCGTCCACCATCCCTAACCCTCTCCGCCTTCTCCACGCGCTTCTGCAAATCCGCAGACGCACCGACCCAGTCGATCCGGACAAGCCAGGGTTCGCCCGGCGTGTCCGTGTTCAACGACCACTCCTCTGTAACGGGTGATTCCTTGGTTTGGGGTGTCGTCGTTGAGCCAGGGAGGGACTTCGAGGAGGAGGACTTCGGTGTGAGGCCTAGGGAAGGAAGGAGAGGTTAGCATGGAATGGTCTTTTGCGTACGATGGGGGGGGAGGTGAAAGAGCTCAACACCAGAAACAAAACGCAACGCAACGAAGAGCTCAACACCACTGCACATTTACCAAGAAGCAACGAAAGCGCAACGCAACACCACCACTACACAAACAAGCTCATCACGAAAGACAAAAACAAAACGAAACCGAAACGAAAACGCAACGCACCTCCAGCCAAAACCCTCAAATCCCCCTTCACCCCCGGCGGCAGCAAATGCCCCAACCCCAGCCTCCCCGCAGCTTTCACCAACTCCGCCTGGCGGCGCAGGCTGTACTTTGGCGGTGCCCAGCGCCCCGTGGAGGGGTTCAGGAAGGGCAGGAAGGGGTTTCGCAGGGCGATGGAGGTCGCTGTTGCTGTTGCTGTCGCGGTCATAGTAGTAGTATTGGCAGCTGGGGTGGAGGCGGTGGCTGCAGCGGTCGCGGTGGTGGAGGCGGCAGAAGGCGCAGCAGAAGCTGGGGCGGCCGTGTTGGGGTTGGCGGCAGTTGCTGCAGCCTTGCCATTCACCCCTGCCGAAGCGCCCTTCGGCAACACACTCTTCCCACTCCCCCCAATCCTCGTCCTCTCATACGTCCTCGCCGGCCCCGTCGGGAGGAACCCAAACCGCGCGATGTGGCTTTCCAAGCCGCGCAGCTCGTGCATGCGGAAGGCTTTGAGGGTGCGGAGGGCTGCTGCTGTTGAGGCGCTCATTGTTTATGATTTGAGGGTGCTTTGAGAATACTTTGCAGGAGGCGTATGTGCTGAGGGTGCTCGACTTCAAGAGTCGAGGATGCTTTGGTGAGCTGCGCGTTTGGTCAAGCAAGCCGCTACGTCGAGTCGAAGGACAAGCCGCGTCCAGCTGTGTCGGTATCTGAGCCTTGCACGCGTTCAAAATACGCGTCGCGCGCCTGGTGCAAACCAAAAGTCAAAGAAAGCGTCTTGACAAGACCGGACAAGACAGCAAAGGCAAAACGCGCCGCGCCGTCCCGATCATTGATCCGACGTCGCGTGGCACCCAGCCTCAGCCTTCAGGAAGCTGCCAGCCTGCCATCCAAGAAAGAATGACATGAAAAAATCCTCAGAGCTACGAATTCAGAAAATCTTTGAGGTTACAGCATGGGTACAGCCCGTTTAGCTCAGTGGTAGAGCGCGCCACTCGTATGCTGTGATGGGTATGCTGTGATGGTGAGGTCGGTTGTTCAATCCAGCCAATGGGCAGTGAATTTGTTGCCACGTAGTTTTTAACGAGATCAGCTTGGAATTTTGATTTTTTGATCTTTGCCTTACGCCGTACGGAGAGACTCTGATGAAATGGAGAGAACTAGAGTCTGCGGAGAGACTCCGTTGTCCAGGGATCTCGCCTTGCCGCTCGTGAGCCTTGAAATGCTTTAGGGTGGCGGACCTAACCCCCAAAACATGGGTACCGAGCATAAGTACCGGTACTGTACCGTACCGTACCATGTACTGTACACCCCCGCCAGAAGGGTAGGTACAGTACCTATCACATGATGCGTTCACGTGACCGTATCACGTGCGGGCTTCGGATCACGGCGCGAGGCGGGCGGCGGGATGATCGGCGGGCACTCAACGACGTTCGGGGGAGTGGCATGGCTCTCATTGGGGTTCCCAAGGGCTATAACTCTGGCAAGTGGCTAAAAGGTGCTATTGAAGACCTTTTGAAGCAATTTCAAAGTCATTGGGCCAATGTGAGGCTGCTCCAAAAGGTGTCTAAACCCAGAGCCATTGTGAGGCCAAATCCTGCAATTATGGGGCCCATCAGCGTTGAATCGTGTCATATTAGACCTTAGCTAGTGTAATATGCACGCAGATGCAGAAAAAACGGGCAAATAGCCCGAAAAACAAGCAAAACGCGGGGTGTGGCGCAGGTCACATGTTCCAATCACGTGCCGGTACAGTACGGTACAGTACGGTACGGTACACCCCCCTAAATCGGGCATAGGTACGGTACCGGTACTGTACCCCCCGGGGAGCATAGGTCCGCCACCCTACGGTACAGTACGGTACGGTACACCCCCCTAAATCGGGCATAGGTACGGTACCGGTACTGTACCCCCCGGGGAGCATAGGTCCGCCACCCTAAACTGAGCACTTCAAGAGCAAAACTGATTACTTCAAGAGCAAAATATTCCAGTCTCCTTAAAACATTTCATCCTGCTTAAAACATTTCTGTCTGCTGGTCCATCCATGCATTAAGAGGGAATCGAACCCCCGGCGGGTCGATGGCAACGACCCAGGTTACCACTACCCCATTAATGCCTGTGCATTCATGCTCACAGTCTACTTCGTTTTCTCTCATGCCCCCAGTCTATTTTGGTTGCTTTCAAGCCTGTCCATGCGCCTTTGTCGCCTTGTCCATGCGCCTTTGTCGCCTTGTCCATGCGCCTTGTCGCCTTGTCCATGCGCCTTTGTATGTCCTCGTGCCTAGGAAATTCCGGCCTGGGAAGGATGAGAAGTCTTCGCATGAGCCTGGGAGTGCATGTGAGCCTGGGAGTGCATGCAGGGTTGGGAGTGCATACAGGGTGAGGGGGTGGGGAGGAGATGATCGAGATCGCGTTTAACCCCCATCCCGGATCCATCATTGCGGGACGCGTCTCGTACCACCATCACTACCACCACCCACTACCACTACCATCACCACCTCGATTAAAGACAGGGGATTGGACTGGATACATAGGGAGAGAGCGGCACGCGGATTGGCTGCTTGTAGCCTGCACACTGGATTACAGGGTACACGACAAGGCGCGCAATACTTAGGCATTCCTTCCAACACCAAACCACAGTGAATACCGAACACTGCGGAAGCACATCACCTACGACGAACACCCACCTCTCCATCTCTATCACGGACACCATGCCCACGAACCCAAACCCAAATACAACCACGAACCCAACGCAAGAGGAAGAAGACACTGCGCCGCTCCCGACGCAAGAAGAAGAAGACACCGCACCGCTCCCACGCACACTAGACGTCGCACACGCGAAACGATGCGCCATTGGGGGGCTTCCGGGGAGTCAGGTGTGTTTTCTGCTCCCATTCCTTCTACCCTTTCTACATGCCGAGGCTTCTTTGCATTGGATTCTGTGTATCGACTATGCATCGGCTTGAGTGTATCGGCTTTGCTCATACCGAGCTTAGTATTTACGTTGAGCCTGGCGCCTTCGTTTCGTATATGCCGAGCCTTGTACATACCCTTCTTTCGCACCTTCCGTCCTTGCTTCGCAGACAGATTCATTTAGGTATCGAGCAAGACTAGTCCTACTCCCCTCCCTCGTTATCACTTACATACCTATCTTTATAAACCATGCACACCTCACCTTGACCTTCACATACTATGCAGTAGTATTTACGTGCCATGCTGTAGTATTTGCATGCCCGCCCTCACACATGCCATCTCCCTTTGCATATTGCACCCCCCGTTCTCTTCTGCATATTGCATAGACCGCTAGCTAACACACCCGCAGGTCGAAGCAGACGCAAGCCGTCTCGCGCTCGTGTTCTACTGCGCGGGTGTGCTTGAGCTTGTTGGGGTTCCCGCTCCTCCTGCCGCTTCTACTACACTCTCAACATTTGGAGGAGATGCACCGAGTGCACCTGAACCTTTGAAGACCGGGCCGGCAGAAACATCAGAGAAGTCCCAAACAGAACATGAAGCACAGACGGCCAATACCGCAGAGAAAGAAGCAGAAACGCCACCCTTCGACGCCTCACAGCTCCCTCTGCGTGCGCCAGAGGCGGAGGAGTGGCGTGCGTGGGTGTGGGAGCAGCAGGTGCATAGCGGAGGTTCGTCTCGTCTCGTTTTCTCTCCCTGCTCTATCCCTCGGTTTTGGCTTCTCTTGGCTATTGTATTTCTCGGAATTGGTTTCTCTTGGAATTGTCGTTCTTGGTCGTCGCGCGTTTGATACGAGGAAGACCGGATATGGACAAGGAATGCTGATGCTCACACGGTTCACAGGATTCCGTGCAGGCCCACACGCGCGGACCTCCTCCTCCTCCTCTTCCTCCCCTTCCCCTTTACCGCACGCACAAGCGTCGAGCGCGCAGAACAAAGCACAAGCGTCGAGCGCACAAAACAAAGCACAAGCGTCGAGCGTACAAAACAAAGCAAAGACGGAAGAGTATGGCACAGGGCATATGGTGATGACCTACACCGCTCTCCTCACGCTCGGTGCGCTCCGGGACGACTTTCGCTTGCTGGACAGGGAGAAGCTGAAGGTGTTTTTGGGGAGGTGTCAGACGGGGGAGGGGAGGTGCGTTCTTGCTTTCCTTTCTGTGATGTGGTGCGGGGTGGGGTGTTTTGCTGCGGTGCGATACTGCGATGCGCTGTCCTGTGATGCTTTGTCTTTTGCATTGTATGATGCTCTATGATCTTTCTATTTATCTTCTGATTTATTCCATGCGGCTCTTCAAATCGCGAGACTGATACACCTGTTCTATAGCTTCGCGACGACGCCGGTACGACGCGTTCCGGATGAAGGTATGTCTCTTCCCTCTCCCTCCCTCGCCTGCCTCCTGCTAAGACTGACTGCCTCACAGCACACCCCATCCACCACGGACCCTCTCCTCCGCGCAAGACGACGTACGGCGGGGCGTGGTGTGTGCCCTCGTCCTCCGTCCCATCGTCCTTCCACGAACAGCGCGGCGCGTCCTTCCGCGAAAAGGGCGGCGCCTCCTCCCTCGAAGAAGATGGCGCGTCCTTCCGCGAAGATGGCAGCGCGTTCTATGACTTTATCGGCGAGACGGATCTGCGGACGGTGTACTGCGCCTTTGCGGTGTGTGCGATGCTGGATGATTGGAGCGCGATTGATGTGGGGCGTGCGGTGGGGTTTGTGAGGAGGTGCGTTTGGTTTTGCTTTGTTCGTTTCTCTGTTGCTGTTGCGTTTGGTGCTCTTGGTGCCTTTGGTACTGTCTCGTTTGTTTCTCGGTTTTTCTCACTTGATATGGGAAATATTCCTTCCGCTCTTGCCATTGATTTTACCTTGACATGTGCTTACTCGAGACTTGGTAGATGTCGCACATACGAAGGCGGATACGCCCAAACGCCAGGCGGAGAGGCGCATGGAGGGTTGACCTATGTTGCGTTGGCTGCGCTGAGGCTAGCTGGAGGTGCGTTTCTCTCCCCCACCCCCCTCTCCCCAGCCTTCCGCGCATCATGCTCACCCACCACACCCCTACAGAAAGCAGCCTCCCAGCACGCTCCTCGGAGGAAGAGGAGCGATCCTGGAACGGATGGGGTCTCACCCCGCGCGAGAGGAAAGCGACGGTGCGGTTCTTGACGTCGTTGCAGGATGGTTCGTTCTTCTTCTTTCTCCGCGTCCTTCGTGCACACTTAGCTCTTCCTTCGTGCCCGTTCTGCTCCTTCGTGCCCGCTCCCTCCTTTCTTCGCCCGCTCCGCTCTTCCCTTCCGCGCGCTAACGACCTCTCAACCTCTCAGGCATCTCCGGCGGCTTCGCGGGGCGCACAGGAAAAGAAGCAGACGCGTGCTACGCCTTCTGGGTTCTCGGCGCGCTTGGTGTTCTTTCTCCCTCCTCCCCTCCTCCTCCTTCCGCACCAGGGAAAGACGCATCTTCCTCACCACAAGAACACCAAGACCCAGCTACGACCCTAATCTCCGCCCCCGCCCTCCGCACCTTCCTCCGCGCATGCGCCTTCACCTACGGCGGCCTCGGCAAGGCGCCAGGCGAGAGACCAGACCCGTATCATACGTATCTTGGGTTGGCTAGTGATGGTGCGTTTCTCTTTTCTTCTTGTTCTTTCTATCTTCTCTGTTGGCGATGCGATGCGGTGTTGAAGGCTGCTGCGGGGCGTTGAAGGCTTTGTTGCTTTGGGTTGTGTTGCTTGCTTTTGCCTGCTTTATGTTCTTGCTCTTTCTTGGAGCTGTTCGGTTTCCTTACACGCGTCTCGCTTAATTCCCATTCCCTCCCCTTCTCTCGTGTGCCGTGTATCACAGCTTGCTAACCCCTCCCTTTTCTATGCAGCGATAACCCGAGACGTGCTGGACCCGGTGTTGAATGCGACGTGGCCGACGGCGGCGTGGGTTAGGAAGTGGGTCCCGGGGAAGTCTCAGTAGCAGCTGGAGATTTCTAGAGCAAATCAAATTGAAATGTTGAGATGAACAAGACAGGGAAAGATGTAGAGCGTGTAGAGATCTGCGAGCTAGGGAGAGATATACAAGACAGGGAGAGATGTACGAGCCAGAAAGAGATGTGCGAGCCACAAATCAAGGACATATGAAGCGCGCGTCGAGTTGAGAAAAAGGCCAGGGCGTTTGCCGGTCCGAGGCAAGCTCACCGTGTCATGTCCGAGTCATAGCTAACAACGGCATTGTCGAACGAGGAATAGCAGAAGACTCAAAACACAAAGGCGGATTGAATGCGAGCGAGGGCCCATCGTGAGATTGATGGAATAATGCCACTGATACTACACAGTCATACTGACTGTTGACATATAATAATACACTCCCACTGAGATACATGCGCTCTCGCCGAGCTATTCACCCTCGCTGAGATATACACATAGTCTCTCGCTGAGCTATTCACTCTCACATTCTGATTGAACTAGTATTCACCACACTAGCACCTCGACTGTCCAGGCAAACAAACGGCCAGGGACGCATGAAATACAGTACATAACAGGGACGGGGGGTCCAGCTTGAGCTTTGGTGAATCGGACGCGACTCACCCAGATGGACTCTCAACTCACCAACTTGCAAGATTAACTTATACGCGGCGTGGATTCACCAGATCAGCTCTCGACTCACCACTTGCAAGATTAACCTATGTGGGTGTAGGGGTGTCGGACTGTCGGGACTCAGGACTCAAAAATCAAAAAGTCCAACCACGACACGACAATGTCTAGTCAAACATAAATACCATCAAAAAGAAAAACTTCGTCGGATAACTACAATGTACATCAAAAAGAGAAAAAAAAACTTCGTCCTTCGAGGACTTCGACAACATTCAAAAAGGAGCTCAACAGCTTGAAGAAACTATGCCCATTGGCTGGATTGAACAACCGACCTCACCATTTGCTTTCTGTCATACAAGTGGCGCGCTCTACCACTGAGCTAAACGGGCTTATCGCATCTGTCATTCAAGTAGTCTCACTGGTCACGTGGAAAACTCCCACTGCCGAGGGCAAGAAGGAGGCAGTCTCGTGGGCAAGAAGGCAGAACGCAATCCTCTTCGCAGTGCCCGCCTCTTTGGTGCGTCATACCAGAGTATGTAACAATAACAACAATTGTCAATAATAAAACAACGGTATGATAAGAACTTGTTGATTCTACGGATTGAAAGCCCGCTGACAGTGATCAATTTTCAGGCGGGCCTCTCCACTTCACATGGTACATGCCCACCACCGGACAACCACCACTACCTGAGCCTTGTGCTTGAACTCCAGTATGCACGGATAAGTATTCGTGGGTACCGGGTGTGTTTGCGGGGCAGCTGCCGTATGATGAGATGTTTGTGGCGAAGAGCGTGTATGATGGGATTGTGGATGGGCTCCGGGTTCAGACCTAAAGGCAGGGGCGATGGGTGTGGGGCGGGAAGTGAAGACTGAAAATGAAAATGAATTATGATGAATGGTATGTACCAGTTCGATGATTAGAGGTTATGCGACAGATTTATGTATAACGCGATAGGTTGTTCAGGTGTGGGTTCGATCACTGGACAATGGACGCGTTCGGTTCAAACTCTCTGTATGGAAACTTAAGTAAGTAGTCTAGTTGACACACAGCATTATAAATAGGACGAAAACTCAAATTTTGCGGCGTGCCGTTCAGCTTGGATAATAAAATTCCATACAATGTGTTTTTCTTTAATGTAGAGCATACAGAATATACCTGTTACACATTACAGTAAACAAGAGCTCGCATCATGAACTCTAAATTTTGCATCACAAACTCTAAGTATCCAGATTCCAGAGCAGCAATGCTATGCAGGGATATCAGCCAAGGCCTGTACCAATGAGATCCGAGCAGTATCTTAATTGAATCTTGAATCAGTACCCTGCAAGAAATCCATTTAGCGTACTTACTTATAGCTCGACACATCGGGGCTAGCATCCTCATTTGCTCCAATGCATCCTCAACCAGCCCACGCAACTCATTCTCCGCATCCGTACGTACCACCAAGTCCGTTCGTTGCCTATGCATCTGCGAAAGCGCCTCGAGAAGGACTCCGCCGCCCAGGCTCCATACGTACTATATCGCAGGAGGAGGTGAGGAAGGGAAGTCAGTAGGAGTGTGTCGACCTAACTGCAGAAAGGCGAATTAATGCGCACCCCCATGAACGGATTGATGAACTTCGTCATCGCGCCCAACTTGGATGTAGACACCATCCTGAACATCGTCTGGGCTGCGGTGAACGCCACCCTGTTCCTTCCCTCCCCTCCATCACTTCCCCGTCCGAGTCTTCCCTCGCCTGCCCCGAGTCTCCCTTTTCCGCCCCAATCTCGGTTAAGACGGATGCTCGCAGCATACGCAAGGCTATGCGCAACAAACAAGCGGCGTAGGTTTTCTGGCGTGCGGTCCGGCAGAGGGAGCTTTGTCGGTGGGAAAAGGCTCCTGTGTAAGTCGTCGAGGGAGGTGTTCAAGTTCATGTTGTCTAAGAAACCTCGGTCATCTGAATCACGGCATTGGAGACTCGGAGGGCGGCTCACGATTCCCTATGCTGGCGCTACACTGCTCTAATACCTTCGCCGCCTTCAGCAACAGTGCTTTCGTCGAAGGCGCCTCCGCTTGCTTCCCAGAGTTCCGAGTCCTCCTCCTCGCTCGAGTAGCAGAAGAACCAAACTTCGTTGAAGAAAAATGGAATGTACGAGGACCAAGAATTCTGTGAGTAATACTCAAAAAAAGGTTATGATTATGTGCCAGCGTACGTTAATTTCCTCAAGCCCATCGTCCTCATCCTCTCCCCCAAGCTCATCCCCTTCAATGGCAAGCTCACCATCACGTAACGGAGAAGTACCCAGAACCACAGCCCACAAGTGTTCGGCAATCGTCACGGTCCTCCAGCACTCCTCCTCCTCTTCCTCCTCCTCTTCCTCTTCCTCCGAGTCCCCTCCTACCACCGTGCAAAGAAGGCCACCCCGCCTAGCGCTCACAAGAAGCGAAACCGCATGCGAGACATGATAGTACCCTTCCCTAACACGCTCGAACGCTAGATGGTAATACGCAAGCAGGACGTGTGTTTGGATCGTCTGTAGTACAATGTGCTTACTAGTACCACCGTCGCCTCTACTGCCTCTGGTACCAGTACTGGTTTGGTGTTCGAGGATACTCGTACCGACTTGGGTCGAAGCACGAGAAAGCAGGATCTTCTGCTCCCCCAGGATAGGAGATCCAGAGAAATGCCCTCCCCAGAGGTATACAGCGGATACAAGCGCTGGTGTCGTCTGAATCCTTGAGGTGTTGGATACAGCCTCCCGAAACCTTTGAACGTTAAGGAAGAACCCGACTTCGCTTGCGAAACACAGGAAGCTTTCAATCCTACAACCTCGCAAGTCAGCGCACAGGCCTAATCTCCAATCCAATCCGGCATGGTAGAGAAATAGTAGTATGATAGAGAAATAGCAGTACGTATGTAAGTGACATGGACGCACAATTCAACTTTCCTGGACAACGCAGGAATCTCCTCCTCCTCCTCGCTAATGCTAACCGCAACTTGCTCCTCGTACGCATACGGCTGATGCAACGCAACGGGACCAAGCTGGCTCTCCAGCGCACGGATGCGTCCTTCCACGAAGGCAATGCGGTCCTCGAGGTCCGTGATCCTGCTTGCCTGGTGCAAGTCGGTGTACTGGCACTCGACGGTGCGCTGAGCCCGGGTGCAGGGACCACAGACGGGGCGTATGCCGTCGCAGCGCTACAAACACCACGATATCAGCGAGTGTGGGCCGCTGGGCAGAGAGAAAGACAAAGACCGACCATTTTCCTCTGGCGACAGCTTAAACATGCTGATCCTTTGGGCAAGATCCCTCCCGGCGGCGAAGATGGCATCCCGTGCTATGTTAAGTCTCGTGCTATGTTGAGTCTCGTGCTATGTTAAGTCTCGTGCTATGTTAAGTCTCAAGTCTGTGTAGGTTAGTACTGTAGTAAGCAATGAGGCGGTGAGGCGCTTTCTCCTTTCCCACCAAAAAGAGGGCTTATATACGACTCCGAAATATCGATATCATTCTGTACGGGTACCCACACACACCGGAAGAAAGAAGGAAGAAATTCCACGGTGGAATAAGGATGTTGGTCAGAAACCGTTTGGTGGCTGACGGAAAACATGTAAGTCAAAGGCCCTCGAGGCTCACGCTGATGGAAGAGGGTCGGCGCCGATCCCGCTGAGGTCGTCCATGACAGGGTATCTTGCTGCATTCCTAGCATACGACATCTACCCACGGACAGGGAGATAGTCTATCACTATGTGTGTAGCGCCTTATTTGTATAGTAGTACGTCGACCTTGCCGTTCACCCAAGCTTACCGAGTCGGAGTCGGATGTGGCATGACAAGACTAAAGTCCCGCTAGAAACCTAAGCGACGCGTCAACGGGCTGGCGTAAGGATGAAGCAGCTGAGAAGCATGGGATATGGATGAAAGAAGACCAAGGTTAAGTTCAAACCGGGCTGACGATCCATCATCAAAATCGAATTACTTAAGTTTGCCCACGATCACGTGTGGGTCTCCCCGGTGCGCGTGAAGGTTTGAACTGAAGCAGGGCACGAATCCGAAATCGGTAGGTAGTATGTAGCTTTCAAGGACAGCACTACAGAGGAGGGGTATATGCTTATTGTGTTAGTGTTCCAGAATGAACTCCTTAACATCGAATGCGCTGAGCGCTCTCCTACCGCTGCAGTGTCCGAATACTACATAGGCTCATAGAAAGTCATGAAATTTCTCATAAAACAATACAAAGAGGCGTAAGCAACAACAACAAAAATGTCCAACAAGTCCGTGAGCAATACCAAACGCGAGATATGTACTGTATGTACATGAGGTCCAGTCTTGAAGTTCAAGAAATCGTTAATAGTCGTTCAGAAGGTCATCATCGCTCCAAAAAGGGCACAACCCAGCATAGCAGCAATGCTAAACCCAATCTGGTTGAGATTTTTGACAGAAAGCGCGCCATCCGGAGTGGCCGTGCTCGACGCTGAGCCCGAGGCGCCATCATTCTGTGCTCCTGACACACCGCTGGATCCACTGCGAGTAGACGTGCTCGTTGCCGACTTCTACCCACAAACATCCCAAGTCAGTACGGAGATGCCATAAATACGATAAGGAGATAAACGCACAGTCGTGGACGCAGCAGTTCCCACGCTCGTGCCAGAAATTATGAGCGTGTTGCTCAAGGACGCAGTACTTTTGCAATTGGACGACGATGGTGCGGGATGAGGCGGGGGAGTAGCGCCTTCGCCTTGATGGAACGTCGACCCTCCATAGACACCCATGGGCTAGTCATGGATGAGTCAACCGCATAAGCGCTGTCACCGCCAAAGACCTACCTCGCCGCTCGCACCATCACAAGACTCGAACACGTTCGCATCGTAGCTCGCAGGCATGTTCCACGCACACCCCATTACGTCGTAAATGTGCTGGCCTAGGTAGGAGTTGAGTTAGCGCGCGCTCCCTCATTCAGTGAGTAAGATTCGATGGCGTACAGAATGCAGCTGGGTCAGAGCCTCCCGGGTTACACGCGCGGAAACAGAATTGCTCGGCGGACATGAAGTTCTAAACGGCCTTAATCAAAGGACAATCTTTGAGGGACATGGGAGTTCAAGCGTACCGTCCATTCGTGAATCTGCTGCATCTGTCCGAATGCGTTGGAGAATACGAGACCGCCGATGGGGTTTCCTGGGCGTACACGGATGAATAATATACAGTCACAGAGCGATTGGGAGACAGACCGTTTCCATCTGCACCATGAGGGTCAAGCTCGCCTCCCGCATCACCAGCCGGGATGTTCAACAGCGTAAGGTTTCCCACACCTAAATACGTACAAAGCATGAGAATCACCGTTCCCAACAGAAATCCAAACAACACCAATACACACCTGTAATCTGAACAAAATCAGGCGTCTTCACAAAGTG